AATTGGATTAAAAAAAATTTCAGAAGTTATAGAGCCAACTATAGAGAAGCATAATAAATGAAAGAATGTCTTCTAGTTTTGACAGTTTGGTGTTTACCCTAAAGACTTCTCTTTGTGCATGTGTAGATACATGCCTATAAATATAACATTTGTGTAGTTGGATCCCACTTTCTACATAGTTCTTTGCAACCCATTCTGTTCACCAACCCAACCCTTAGGGGTAAATACTGGCAGTGTTTCTCTCTGCACGTACAACCAAGTGCTACTATACAAGTTCACCAACTCCCTGTTCCTTACACAATATGTACAACCTATTGCTTTTTTTCCCCCTGAACAATCTACCCTGGTACTCTTCATAACACAGATGTGTTATGTGAAACACAGATGTGTTTCATTCTTTCCAATTGCATAGTATTTCATTCTAGGCATGTCCCACCATGATTAAGAAATAACACCCCCGTCACTTTCTTCATACCACTCACCACCTGATGTATTACATGTATTTATTTTCTGCCCCAGCCTTCAACTAAACTATCAAGTTCCATAGGCAGGGATTTAGTATAGTTTTATCACTGAATTTCCATTGACTAGAAGAGTGTTGGGAGCATGTATTCGGGCATAATCTTTCCTTGGCACTATCATTTATTCATAGAAAATCCTCTCTTATGGAGAACTAACTGAAGCTTAGAGGAAAATACCTTTTTTTTTTTTTTTTTTTTTTTTTTTTGAGACGGCGTTTCACTCTTGTTGCCCAAGCTGGAGTGCAATGGCGCCATCTTGGTTCACTGCAGCCTCCGCCTCCTGGGTTCAAGTGATTCTCCTGCCTCAGCCTCCTGAGTAGCTGGGACTACAGGTGCGCACCCCCCATGCCCCGCTAATTTTTCGTGTTTTTAGTAGAGACAGGGTTTCACCATGTTGGTCAGGCTGGTCTTGAACTCCTGACCTCAGGTGATCCGCCCTCCTCGGCCTCCCAAAGTGCTGAGATTACAGGCGTGAGCCACTGTGCCCAGCCAGGAAAGGACGTTTTTAAGGTCACACAAGTGGAGGAGCTGGGAGTTAAACGTGTCTGCTGAGAGTGACAGTGAACTTTGCATGTGCCCAGTCTTACCAAATTAGTGTTCTCTTACTTGAATTATTGCCCATCTAACCACCAAATGTGTATCTTCTCAGGGATGTCAGTTTCCCCAGGGTCCAGATCCTGACCCCACGCCCGCACATGGCCAAGAAGCCAATCGTTTACATTTAACATTCCATTATAGGATGCATACCTTTTCGGTTATTTAGGGAGGATGTGGTTTTGCCTGGAAGGCTTTGAGAATGCTGGGCAGCTCAGGGGACTTGGGGCTTAAATCAGAGGCCGATCAACTTTTTTCTAAAGGGCCACATATAGCGTAAATATTGTCAGCTTTGTGGGACATGCAGTTCTCAGCCTGCCGCTCAGCTTTGCTGTTGCAGTACAAAAGCAGCCGTAGACAAATGAGTGTGGCTGTGGTTCCAATAACATTTTATTCATGGTCACTGAAATGTGAATTTAATATAATTCTTACATATCACAAAATATTAGTCATTGTCTTTTTTTTCTCTCCAGCCACTTAAAAATGTAAAACTCATTCTTAGCTGCCAAAGTTTGCCAACTTTGGCTTACAGCAAATGCAGCAAAGTGGCCCAAAGTTTTCTGAGCTTGTGCCCGTGCTGTCTCGGCTCAGAGTGGGCAAGGCTCAGAGAGCTGCTGTTATGGAATTTGACCTACATAGAAAGCACCAGGTAGAAACCTTGTTTCCTTCAGAGACCAGTACCTGGAAACAAGGGGAGGACCTGAGCAGGCAAGGCGCAGAATTTGGCATCAGAGACCCCCAGTTGGAAGCTTCTCTGAAGCCTAGAGCGCCCTGGTTCTGCGCTTTTCCCTCCCTCTCATTTCTCATCCATGAAAAGGGAGCAATCTCTCCCCAAAAGCTTGTTCATGGTGGTTAAATCAGAATGTATGAGCAGCCCCTGGCAGGGTGCCTCAGCTCGCTGGTGCTGCTGATAAATGCACCAGCTCTCTCCTCTCAGTTGTACTTTCAAGACTGGCGAGTGCCTTCTGCCTCTAGGGCCACCAGGGGTGTCGGGAGGTTCAGTCATGCAAGGGTCTTGACATCACTGGAAGGCTTAAAGGAAGTGGCTTCAGGAGCACTTAATGCTTGAGGTCACCCTAAGGTCAGGCTTCGGGCTGTTAGTCCATCACTCTTCTTTTTTAAAAGACTTGGCAGGATGGAACTGGTCAGAGGGTAAAATGCCAGGCTAGGAAACCAAACAACTCTAGTCCCAACCCTGGCTTTTGTTTGTATGCTAGGCTGGGCACCTGCCCTCTGACCTCAGGCGCCTCCTGTCATGTGCCAATGTTACAGCAGTCTGCAATTTCTTGAGCTTCGTTCTTTCTTACTGCAGCCCAGGCTGTCTTTTTTTCTTTTTTTTGAGAGTGTCTTGCTCTGTCGCCCAGACTGGAATGCAGTGGTGCGATATCTGCTCACTACAACCTCTGCCTTCCAGGTTAAAGTGATTATATTCTCGTGCCTCAGCCTCCCAAGTAGCTGGGATTATAGGCATGTGCCACCACGCCCCACTAATTTTTGTACTTTTTTTTTTGAGACGGAGTCTTGCTCTGCCACCCAGGCTGGAGTGCAGTGACACGATCTCAGCTCACTGCAAGCTCCGCCTCCTGGGTTCAC